GTCGTAGGAATTTTAAAAAGTATTCCTGATTTTCTTCATTGGGATGTTTGACGTTTGTCAAATGCAAAAATTGACGAATTCTCGTCTATCCTGAGGAAGTAATAAAGATATCCAGAGGATATAACAGATGAGCAGTTAATTTCGTTATCTTTTTCTTTAATTCGATGAAGCAATGTTGAGCACCCCTTATCTGTTCTATCAGGGTGTTTAACGTTCGTCAAACATGAAAATCGACGAATCCTCGAATATCCTGAGAAGTAACAAAGATCCGAATATACAACTGATGAGCATTTTATTTGATTATCTTTAATTCGAGAACTCATCGTGTCGAGCACCCCTTATCTCCTCTATTAGGGTGTTTGATGTTTCTCAAACATGAAAATTGACGAATCCTCGAATATCCTGCGAAGTAATAAAGACTTGAATATACAATCGATGAGCAACTCATTTGATTATCTTTAATTCGAGGACTCATCGTGTCGAGCACCTCTTGCCATCCCTGCTAGGGTGTTCGATGTTCATCAAACGTGAATATCCCGAAGAAGTAACAGAGAACTCCTAAAAATACAATCGACGAGTAACCGATTCATCTCTTTTTCCTAAATCGGAGTGTAACTTTGAAGGAATTCGCGTTCGAGCTTCTCTAAGTTCTTTCACGGCGGCGTCTGACACGATCGTCAGCCGCAACCTTGGCAAATGCTCTGATATCACGAAGAGCTAGCAGGGATCCGCAGAGAATATCGGCAAGAAACAAAACCGCGCTGGTTTTTTCGCAAACTCGAGAACCCATGGTGGACAGAATTCATCTCGAGTAACCGAGATTGCAGAACATTCGCGCGTTCGAGTTATCGTTAATTAACCCGATAATTCGCGCGATTAAGACGCCGCAAAAATAGCCCATCGTTCATCTCTCATTCGTGGCCGCTCCAGTCCGGTTACAAATAGACGCAGTTGACCTTTGCCGGTCTCTCGGCTTTACAAGCCGCCCCGTTGAATAAAACCACGCTATTAAAGACCGTGTTTGCCCTTTAATTGTCGTGACGGGCATAATTGCTCGGTAAATTTGCGATCCGGCCGTTATCTTATTGGCCGTTCGGCGGCAATTCGCTCGTTAGGCTTATTAAATCGAATGAAAAATCGGCACGTTGAGCTCTCCAGCCCTGGCGGGCACTTCGTGCTCGAATTAACTTCGAGGGAGTCTCGATCTCTCGCGGAGTCGCGAGGGATCCACGTGGCTGCTCGCCGGCAAAGCCACGGACGTTAATGGAAGTCGCTTCTCTGCCTAGTGCAGGCCTTTCAGGGCTGCCTTTTCCCGCGAGCCTTTGAATCCTCGAAATCTTCGCCTCGCTTCTACCCGTCACTTTTAATCTTTGCACACCCTTTTCCCTCGACGGCGAGGTTCAGCGAACTCTAGCCATGCCACGCGTCTACTGTATCAGCAGCCAGGCTCGAAAGGGATAACGCGAGCTGCGATTCGACGATTCCCCACGGTCGATCGCGGCTGCCATACTCTCATCGAGCGACCGATGCGCGGAAAAATGGCGAAACTCGGTGGTGGAAAGGGGTCAATAAGAAACCGATCGTTCGTTGTCCCGCTTCCGGCTAGATCGACGCGCGAAATCGCCGGATGAAGGAAGAATGGCGGGCCTGGAGTGGTGGAAAAAATATACGCGGATGGTTGCCGGTGTTGGTACGTGTGCTGGTCGAGAAACATTAATCACTCGCGGTACAATAATCACCGTGTGCTTTCTCTGCGCCTCCGCTAACAATGGAAGTGGAGTGCGTGGAGAACACGCAAGGACGAGTGCGGGCAGACAGTGAGAATTATTTAAACGAACCGGGCCAGCTAATTATTTGGCATCTCTCGCCGCCGCGACTTTCGCGAAGCTCTGAAAAGACAGCTTCGAAGCGGCTCGAAGCGCTTGCTTTCGACCAGTCCGGTGAAAACTGCTTGGCATAGTTTCTTTGCCGGCAAAAAGACCGCGATATTCCGAGCGCAGTGTATTCGGATGTTACCTCCTTCTCCGAGGCTGATCTTGGCTTGTCGCGTTCGGTTATGACGATTTACGCGCGCGAGTAAAAGCAAGCAGCGAGGAATGAGATATATTTATAGTTTGAATTGTCGGCCCGTCAAGTGGAAAGTCTCGAGCCGTGCATCGAGACGTTTAAGAATCCCAGTCGGAGTTTCGAATCAGCGAAACAACGCGTGCCGAGACAATGGGCCGTATTTTTTCCGTGCTTTTGCGCGAATCAGCCGGTAATTACCGGAAAGGACGATTTACCAGGCAATGTAAAGGAGAGGCATTCTGGCCTAAGCAGCAGCCAACTACCCAGAATAGATTTAATAAGACTCGGTTATAAAACGAAATCACGGCCGACGTCACGAAACGTGTACTTAGCTAACCTGCTTACGTATTATAATATATTCATAGGTCAAAACTGCGACGAGAAATTACCGAACTGTAGCAGCTACCCGAGCGAGCGGGTAGAAAATCGCGAAACCTGGCTGAAATTGAGAAACTCGCGTGTCTCGAACTTGGCAAAAATATGAAAAAGAGAAAGGCAGAAATGATCCTGATTTAGAAACAGGTCCAAAAAATCCAATAATTAATGCATCAGGTGATTGTAAAAGAAAAGACAGGTCTAAGTTATTCAAGAATCAGTCCACTCTGTGATCGAAGAAAATGATCCCGACTTCGAAACGGATGTAGGAAAGGCAAGAACCACTTCACCCTCTAATCCAAGAATCAATTTCTCCGTCGCTTAAAGTCCAAGAGACCGAAGAAACCGAAGAATCAATCGTCTGCACGATCGACCACGAGCTACTCGCTAGCAGTCTCACCACCCCTTCGATTTAATCGGTTCGATTGAACCCCTCGACAGCCGAGGTGGCTTCGAGGAGGCTCGTTTCCCCCCCTGAGCCGAGTGTCAGCTCGGCAACGCGAGTTCGAGGGGAGTGACTTCTCGTTGGCTTTGCACTCTCCTCTTCTTTTTTATTTTCCACGCGAAACGCTCGATTTGCAAGCGCTCTGTTTACCCGGCGGGTCCGCGGGTATTCGTCATCGTTTGGCAGCGGCCCAACTAAGCCAGCCACTGCCAAGGAATCCTGGCCAGATTCCCTTTAGATATTCTCGACTTTTTATCCCGCGGAATTTCCACCTCGCGCCGCTCCGCGTCTTCGTTTTCCCTTGATCGAATTTCTCGCCGCGCCTCTCCGACCACCCCCTCGGCGCGGAGCTCCGCCGCTAACGGTACACCCCTGATGGCGCCGCGACGCGGACACTTGGCGCGAGGACGTGGCGTCCGACCTGCGCGCAGCACGGAACACCACGGTCGCGCAAGAATTCGTAAAAGTGCGAGAGAGGCGTCGAGGCGAGCAGGCGTCCCGTTACGCGAGTCACTCCTCGCGCAAATTAAAACCGGAAGCAGCCCGATTTCGTGCACGCGAGTCGCCCGTCGCGGCCGAGTTCCGCCCTCAGAGGCCACTGCAGCATTCCGGGTTATGCTTGTCGAAGACTGCTACCGTAATAATCACGGGATGCCGTAACGTGAGTGTAGTCTTTCCAGAGTCGTTTGGACCCTGGTACCGTCGCTTCCTCGTCCAATTTGTCTGTTTGTCGCGAAACGGATTAACCCTTGGCACTGAACGGGAAACCGAGAGTCGCCATTAGGAGAAATTTTTTAAATTAATCCTATGAATTGTAGAAATTTGTCAGTGGACGGTATTCGTTTCGCGTTAATAACGACGATCGAGTAATCATGGTACTCTGGCTACCTGTGACAGTCGGCGTATCTTTATTCACAATGGTAGGTTTTAGTAGGTTTAGTAAGTCACCCTCTTTCGCGCTCTCGTTCACGTCCTCGCGTTCTTTCCTCTTGGTCGCAAGGTTTCCATCGTGGAGTGGCTTGGCGGGGTTCAGAGCCGCGATGGATCACTCGAGATTCCTTTCGAGATGCACGGGCAGCGAGGATCAACGTTTTATTCTAATTAAGATCGACCGTTCCTTTCTTCGCGTGCATAATACTTCATGGCTGTTTGCCTTCGACTGAAGACTCTTCGAATACGCTTTTCCTTTCGAGTGCTTTCGTTCCCTGGTTATTACGCGTTGCATTGTTTCACCGGTGAACGAGCGAATATATAAATCACGTATAAACGAAGCTTTTCGCCTGGCCGAATGGTCGAATAATTACGTTGGGATGGTAGGTACCCTGTTTGATGGTAGGTCCTTAGGCCTACCTACATCGGCCTGGGCCGCCATCGCGATGGCTGCGTTCCTCTCGCGTCACGTTTCATTAATACCTTGCTGCCTCGTGAGAATCGGCCTGACGTTCTCTCACGCGCCTCTCGAGCTGTGAAAACGTGGGCACGGGTATCGTCGTACGATCGGGGAACGGCGTACACGACGTCTGGCGTCGTCGTTCGCGGGAACGCTTAATTACGGTGTAATATGCATCGAGATAATTTTCTTGTCCGCGGTGGAAACGCTGGCAGCGATCGAGATGCGAGAAAGTCTCGAGCAACGCCCGATCGGTCTTCGATTCGCCTCGTAGGCTCGCAGAGACTCGCGAATAATAACCTTGGCTATTAACAGAGCTATCAATTAGCCGAGCTATCGATTAACTCGACCGATCTCCGTGCATCCGCCGTTCTAGCTTCCAAACAATCCGGCCATCGTGCTTACCTCGGGGTTTCTTCTTTCGGTTGGCCAGTCGGCTTTCTAAAATTATCTTTACGCGATGCAGCCGTTCCGAGTTCATCGGCGGCCTATCTCGATCCGATCGAGAGGCCGACTTGGACTAACGAAGAAACACCTCTGGCTAACCCTCGGAATCGCGCAACGGCGAACGCCACGTTTCGTAATGGCGTAACGTAACCGCTAGGCACATCAGAAAACGCTTAAACGGTCAAGGGTGTTCGACGATGAAATGTGTAGCGGTTCGCGACAGCGGCGTGCAAAATGCATGAAATTGTGCTGAACATCTGTGTACCCGGTTTCCAGGTTACTCACAAAGTGACGAGTCAGGTGATGGTCCTGAAGATGAACCAGCTGCCCGCGAATAGGCCAAACATGCTGAAGGAGGTTCAGCTGATGAACAAGCTCAGCCATCCGAACATACTCAGGTAAGTCGAATCCGTAGTCCGGTCCACTTTTGCTCGCGGAGAAACTCGACCATCGGAATCCGCTGTTCTCTTTGCCCTCGAGAAATTTCGGGTGTAGGGTTGATCGACGAGCAGCCGCGAGTGCCTCGGCCCGGAGTCCATGGGAAGCGCGGCAAGCCACGCGTGTCGTTCGCTTTCATTCGTGAAGTTTTAAATTAAAACCGGGCCGTGGATCGTCGCGGGGATGGCGATGGAAATAGAGATGAAAATAGAAACTGGTTCGATGGTGCATCGAAATCGAGGCGACTGGGATATTTGTTTCTCGGGCCAATCAACGCTACCGGCGAACGGGAGAAATCCCGGCTCTGATGCACCGACTTTTTACTTTTCCATACCACCGTTCGGATGTGATCGACGAGACAAATAGGCAAACGACGGGACGATTCGATGCCCGATAACGGCGCACCAGTTTCGCTGTTTACTCGTGGAAGTTTCCAACTCTCCCTGCGAATGATCGCGATCGGTAGCTTCTAAACATCCACGTCTATTCCTACGCGGTATACTCTGTTATCAGCTCTTGGTATTTTAGCGGCGGAATTAAAACGGGACGTTTCTTTCCACGAGAAAGCTCTATTTATGTTCCACGCTCTGTATTATTCGTTAGTCAAAGACGGGAGAGCAGACGAAGGATTCGTATCAGAAACGATGCTTGTTGATCTTGTCGATTTTTAACCTCTTCAGGGACGAATTTCTTTTAAGTTAAGTGATGTCGTGGTAACGATTGTAAAGTAGAATAAACCGCTTTCTTTTTACCGTTGAGGGATTTTATGGCGAACAGTCCTCCATCCGATTATAATCTTCTTTCCATTCATAATAATCGTTTCTCAGAATTGAACGTACATATACGTGCTAGTATCCCTGAGGATGCTAAGGAATAAAGGAAATCCCTCGTCAGTTTCGATTTATTTTTGTACAGAAGTAGTGAATTTCTCCTCTGACAGAATTCGGGAAATACGTTGCTGCGATGGTGCAAGTGAAGAAACAAACTTTACTCAGACTTCTATCCGTTGCACCAGCTTTATTCAGCCGTTTACACTTTTGTGGCTCGAGAACGACTGAGACTCTTTTGATCCGCGAACCAAGTAACTAGGAGCTATTTACGCGACAAAGGAGACATAAAGGATGACGTCGGTGTGTCTATTTTACAACGAGTCTTACCCCCAAAAGGCGAAGAATCGTTTCTGATAAGACCTCCTCAAATTGTCACTTCTCCCAATCGCAGATTCTTTTTATCCAAAACCTTTTGTTCATTTCGCGAATATTGGAATAAATTTCAAAATAAAAGTTCGGAAAGAAAGGGTCAGGATTCGTAGAATAGGGGAACCTCTTAACCACGTGCGCTGGCAAGAAATTCACAAACGCGTGTGTCAGAACGGTCCAGTGTTTCTGTGACATTGCCTGGCGACGTGTATACCACGTTGTTGGCGATTCTGCGACAAAAGCATTACGACGTGCGTGGCACGTCTTTGCAGCTCGAGTGGTTAAGGCTCGCCTTAAACGTATCGGTTCCCACGCATCAGGGTACCAGGTCCTTTGGAAACGCTCGGTGGTGCGTTGACGCAATCTGGTGGGTGACAGGCTGAGCTAATGCCAAAAGAGTTTCGCGGTTTGGAAGTTACGAGTTATGACATAATGGCAGCGCGCTGCGTCGCGGTGCCCGCTCGCGGCTAGACGCGCCGCATCCGCGGCGACAACGCATTCCAACGATATAAACGGCTTGGCCCAGATTCGGCTGTGTGTGTTTATCCCGCGTGACTAGCGGATCTTATTTCTGGCATTTCTCTCGTTGAAGGCTGCGGAAACCGCGGACACTTTCGGGACGTGTCTTCCGCCGCGCGCGAGCCGGCCTGGCGGAAAAAGAAGAGGGAAAAACGGGGCTGAGAGGCGGTGGAAAAAGGAGGAAAGGGCGGGAAGGGAAGGCGAGTATCATCCGCTATTAGCCTCTGATACGCGTGTGTTTCGTAATTCTTGGAACGACGAGACGCGCCAGCTGCGACCGTCTCGATTCGGCGAATATGGATGAATGAAATCGGTCGATACTCTCGAAATACGCTGGTCGCTTTAGTTCATGCGGAGAGATTTACTACGACCGCTACCTTCGCGTCAATCGATCGCCGTTCCTTTGAATATTCGCCACCAACTGCCAGCAACGTGCTCGTGAATAACCAGCTGGCCCGAGCCGATCCAAGGCTTTGGTGCGCGGACCGATCTCGCGTCCGTGACATTTTTAATCCGGATATTTTTCTTTCATTTTCTGCAAACTCGGAAATTTATTTTCTAAAGGTAGTCGGTTATTGGTACATTCCATCGGCCTGATTAGGCTTCTTGGAAATATTTGTCGTAATAATCTCTCGAAGATCCGCGAACCTGAAGACTCGAAGATCACGTGTTCAAGAGGCAGGAAGCTTTATCGATTCTTAAGGATCTCTTAGAGTAGATCAACGATGCATGGGACTTTCTGCTTCTGTGCAAGATTAAATACAGAATTGGCAAAAGATGGGTATATCTTATTGGGTATTAACCCTTTGCCCTCGACTATTTTTTCTTTACAGAGAAATAGTAATTCCAAGACTTTCTGTCATAGAGTCGACGATATTTCTAAAATGGTAAATGAGAAATCAAATGCAAATTAAGACGTAGAATTATTTTTCTTCGTCATTCCACGCATCGTTAGGTAATTTTAAATTTGTTATATTAATTAACGTCGAGCTTTAGAATCTGATTAAATGGTGACTGAGAATCACCTCTCGAGTGCAAAGGGTTAAGAATAGTTGCATTGTATTACAGAGTGTACGTATTCGAGAGAAGGTGCGTTAAGAACTCGTATGTAGGGTGTCTCACGGTAAGTATCGTTTGATATAACTGCTGAACAATAGGCATGAATCATTGCTTTATCAACGGTAATACTTAAAAGCTTCGGTTTAATACTTGTTCCCTGCAACCTTGCATCGCTTCAAGGTCACTCCAAGAACGCGCTCAACTCGTTTACTTCTGCACTTTCGTAATACCTAAACAAAACTGTAGCATTCCATTTAAAAGGAAGCATTAAACGTGACCTTGGGACAACCTCGAGCAATTTCTTCTGTTACAATGACATTCTGTTTTATATAGAATGAGCGATATCTTGCATCGAACTACATTTACAACGAGACACCCTGTATATCTCGAGAAATCTACCGTATTTTTACCAAGCGTTAAAATTAAGGCTGAACAAAAAGAAACGATAACGAGTGTTAACGAGTATACAGAAGTATAGTAGTAGCGCATAATGCATCGAGATAAAATTCTTTTCGATTGCACATACGAAATTTTCGATCGATTAATACACGTTTTTATTATCGCGTAGCGACTCAAGGCGACCTTCGTTATACTTAAATTCGTAACACGCGATTACAGAAGTGTTTAATATCAGAACCACCGGCTCGTAACGCGAGCCTAAAGATAGTATGCAACGATGAAAATAAATGAGCATGCATAATTACATTTCTGTCCGGGTAAATGTCAACAATAATTTAGCTGAAAGTAAAATCGCGAATCCAAGAACGAGTCATTTCGGTAATGCTAGAGCCAAATATATTTCGTAAACAACAATGTAGATATCCATTTCCGATTAGTTGAATCATCAGGGACCAAAAATTCCGCGCATCTATAAGCAAGTCCGCCCATTTGCCAAATCGACTGCGGAAGCCAGAAATTTTCTCGAATTACGTAAAAATGAATTTTAACCGAATGAATCGGTAGAAAGAATTTTCGGAATTAATTAAATTGCCGATTTAATTTTCAAGAAAGCTGGCGTACCTCGTCCTCGGTTATCGAATATTCGCTTGGCAAAAATTGGCAAGTAAGAAAACCAAAGTTGCAAATTTTGCTGGTACATTTTCTCCGTATTTTTGTTCATTGCGATTTGGAAGATTTGGAAGAAGAAATTAAGGGAAAAATCGGTTGTAAACCGATGTCCAAGCAGATTCGTTGGCACTCGCTATCGTTTAGTAAGCACGTCGTGTAACACTTGTTCCGATAGCGGGAAATACGGAGAACGGCGCGATAATATTTATTGTTTGTCAGGGTAAGAATTTCGCGTATCTTATCGCTACATTTAGGACGTATCTGCGTTTATCTGCGTGAGTTCACCGACGAACGCCGGTTTTTCGCGGGCGAATCGATAGCGAATCGGTCTACGGAGCGGAAGAATCGCCTCGTGATTTGCGAGCTCGCGTGCGAATCGGGCCGCGTCGATAGTCGCACGTACTGCGGAGTTTCGATCGGCCTATCAAAGTTATCGCGATAATCGGCGATAATGGCAAATTGACCAGTAATTCGTCGCGAAACGCGACTCGTGCTGGTACAAGCGCGAGTAACGAGATACCGACCCGATTGTTAGCGCTCGAATGTTGTTGCGATAAACACGATACAGGCCGCAATAACATCCTGCGAACTTTTATAGCTCCCGATGACGCAACCGCGAGTAAATTCGAAGCTGCGGCGAAGAAGAAAGAGGAGCCCCTTCTTTCACCTTACCTTTACATAATTCGTAATTACCCCGGCTCGTTAGCCGTGTTTAATTAATTCCTCGCGGAGAAACTTAATCGACGGCCCGCGACTGCCGATCACGCCTCCTTAGATCCTCGCCATCTACGAATAAGAGGGATTTCTTTTTAGTGATCCTCCAGCGTGTGACAAAATGGCCGCTCGTCCCGCGATTTTCTGCGATCCTCGAGTAACTTCGCGATGGTATATCTTTGTACGAAAAATTTATACGATTATAAATTAAATTTTATTCTATAAAGGAAGGTTAGCACTGTGTTGCACTGTTGGCAGAAATGTTGAAAAAAATTATTAGCCTTAGAATTCTTTTGGAATATTTTTGGCAAAAATTGTAGACCGTGATGGATCTTGATCCTCGAGTAACTTCGTAATGGTATATCTTTCTATGCAAAATTTATGCGATTATGAATTAAACT